GGAAAACATAGTGATTGGCAAGGCACCATGATTCCATATGTTCGGACCGGATGTTTTAAGAGATGTAGAAGAGCAACTAAGGATGATTAGAGATAACTTGAGAGTGGCTCAGTCTAGACAGAAGAGTTATGCTGACACTCGGAGGAGAGAATTGGTTTTTGAAGTCGGGGATTATGTTAACTTAAAAGTGTCACCTATGAGAAGTGTGAGAAGGTTTAACATGAAAGGAAAGTTAGCACCAAGGTATATTGGACCTTTCAAGATTTTAGAGAGACGTGGAGACATAGCTTATCAGTTAGAATTGCCTGAGAGATTGTCTGGTGTACATGATGTGTTCCATGTGTCTCAGTTAAAGAAGTGTTTTCGTGTACCAGAGGAGTAGATACCGTTAGAGGAACTTTCAGTTAAGGAATATCTTACATATGAGGAATTTCCGGTAAAGATTTTGGAGACAGCAGAAAGGGTTACAAGGAGCCGAGCTATAAAAATGTGTAAGGTTCAGTGGAATCGGTATACGCAAGATGAGGCTACATGGAAAAGAGCAGAGGATCTAAGGAAAACATACCGACAGCTTTCTGAGTAAGCATCGTCCGAATCTCGAGGACGAGATTCATTTTAAGGGGGGTAGAATTGTAACACTCTAAATTTTACATAATTTTAAATAGGAGAAAATGATTTAATTACGCATTTTGTGAACATTGAAATTTAGAAAAATAATAACATTGTTAAACTAAAAATCAAATATAGGTCTACATACATGTCTATGCATTCATGTTGCTGCATATTATTTTTGTATTGTGTGACTTGAAATCAAACTTCAAATTGATTTGAATTTGCATTTCCAAATTGGTTTGGAAAATTAGAAAGAATAAAGGAGAAATTTCATTTTCCCCCTCCCTCTATTCGGCCTGTTGGCCCAGTCCCGCCGGCCCAGCTGCGTCCGCGTGCCAGCTTCACCCGCGCTGCTCTCCTCTCCCTCGTGGCCCAGCAAGCACCGACCTAGCTTCGCTCGGCCCAGCAGGCAGCAGCGCGTTGCGCCGTTCCTTTCCCCCTCCGTTCCGTTGATAGCCGGGGCCACTCCTTTCTCTCACCGACACGATGGCCCCAGCGGTCAGTTGTCTTCCTCCTCTAACTCAAGTCCGAGCCGGTCATGACTCCGGCCGGGAATCCGAGCTCGCCCCAACTCTGCCCTAATATGCGTGCGCCGCAAGCTCCCACCACCCACATAAGTAGCGACCGCGCCTGCGCTGCCTCCTCATAGAAGCCGAGAGCCAGCCGTATGCCTCCGAGCCCTAGCAGAGCCATAGTAGATCCACCGCCGAGGTCGATTCACAGCTTCGCCGCTCCTCTGCCGCTGCGACCGCATCTCTAAGCTCCACGAGAAGGAGAGTAACATGCAGATGTCTCTCATGCTCTCTCCCTTGCCTTCTGTGCTTGTATTCGTGTCACCATTGATCTCCGGCGAGCTCAAGCCGCCCCATCTAGCACTGCATCACCCCCATGCCGTCGTAGACCTTTATGATCCCCTAGCTGGGTTCGCAGTGCCTTCCTCTTGTTTCCCGTCCTTTTTCCGTGCCCGATAGTGGTCAGAGCCGTCATATCGATGAACTTCGGCGAGGTCGGGCCGATTCTAGCCATGGCGCCGCTGCTCACAGCGCCGCTCCGATGACCTCATTTCCCCTCCCGTCTAATCTGCACCATCCAATCTCGATCCAACGGTCCAGATTCACCCGTACCCCTTCACCTGTTGTTTTTCCAAAAAGGCCCTTACAATTATTTGGATCATAACCCGCCGTCCCTGAACTTTTGTTAAGGAACCCCTGTCTTTTCTTCAAATTGTGGCCGCTGTCCCTGGTTCGGTTTAAAATCAGATTTTAATTATTTTAAATTCAACAATCAAGTTTGATCTATTTACAAAACTGCCACTACCTTCCGTAGGCCATAAAATCTTCGTTTTAACTCCGATTTGATCCGTTCAAGTTGCGTTAGGTTCGTAATTCCATAATCTACATGTTCATACTACTGTTAGGAATGTTTTTAACTTTTAAATTTTGAGGTTAGATTTAATCTATTATTTTACTAAAGAAAATCTTGTTTAATTCATAACTTCTTCGTTTTAGCTCCGATTTTTGTGATCATCATGTCTGCGTGTTCGTAGTGAGACATAGATTTGTTTTACAAACTTTTCATCTTGATTTCATCTTGATTGGTGTACTGTTCCAATCTATATCTTTTGTTTGCTATGCATGATTGCTTCTATATGTTTGTATGTTGCTGTGATTATCGAGTATAGACGGTGAGCAATTCGTGGTTGAACAAGAGTACAACTTTGACGAGCAGGATCAGTAGGAGCACTTTGTTCAAGGCAAGTATAGCATGGGATTATCCTTGTTTCTTATCAACTTTAATACATTTAATTCATGTTGCATATGTCACCTTGATAGGGATTCTCTAGAATTGTACTTATACCTTGTCTCCTACGGGATATGCATTGGGTAGTTTTGCTAGTAATTAATTAAATCATGATCTTGTAACTTGACTAATGGTATATGCAATAAACGTTAAAACATGACTTTTTAGCAACTTGGAAACAGGGGGCTGGAGTATTTAGCTACTTTTTAAATGCTTCAAATTCCTCTCCCTAAGGACTTATTTGTAAGCGAACATCCAGTACTTACAGTACAGCTGTGAGGGCTACATGGCTCTGACTTTAGCTAAGTATGAGGATATTTTCTAGCTCGTTAGAGGTTACCTTTATTGGTGTAAGAATGGCTTGAAGAATCTGGTATAGTGCGGCCTCTGTCCCCTTGAGTATAGGCTGTGCGTCATTGTGCCATCGGGAAGAGGGGCTCTACATCTATTTGCCGAGTTAATCTAATGGCCCTAGCTTGTTAGACGAACCTTTGAAAGGCCTCATTGTGACCCCTGCCTGCTCACCTTAGAAGTGTTTTGGGAGTAATTAACCCGGACATATGGGTATCACGACTCACAGTGAAAGTGTACAACCTCTGCAGAGTGTAAAACTAGTATATCAGCCGTGCTCACGGTCACGAGCGGCCTTAGACCCTTATGGAATAGATGATCACTAAGAATTATTTGTTTATGCTATTCATTATTCATGTTCACATTGATCATGTGTTTTACCTTGGGATTGAAACAATTTGTTGCTACTTAAATGCTAAAATTGTGACAACTAAAAGCTGAATGTTGTTAAACCTGTGTTAAGCCTTTTGAGCCTCATGAACCCCATGTTACACTTGTTCAGTACAACACGTACTTACGCTTGTTTATTTTCATTATTTGCATAAAAATCCTGGATGGGTAATAGATGGCTATGGTAATGACGACTTTTATGAGGATTATGAGACTTGTGGTCAACCAGTTGACGTCCCTGTGATATGGAGCTTCCGCGAAAGATTTATCTTTATACTTCTGCTACATTTATGTGAAGACTCTGTCTTATTATTCGTGATATAATAAACACTTGTGCTGATACTATTTATAATTTGTCAGCTTATATGTGTGACCGATCTCTGTACGCACATAAGATTTTGTATCCTATTTTATCCTTAAAATCGGATGTGACAGTCACTCTAAATTTCTTATTTCTAAATCATGGTTCTCCGTGCTTATAGGTTCTAAAATTGTAGTTTCTTGATACCACGATTTCTTAATACAACACATCCAAACAGGGCCTTCGTTATGGACCGCTCGGAGCTCAGACTTTTTAGTTCTTTGGCATCCTCTAATAATGCATCCATTTTTCTGAGCGAACCGGCATGAGACTGTGCGCCATTTCTATTAATATAGAAGGAAAATACAAGTAGGCAGCCCCAGGGTGCTACTTACAGGGTCAAAAAAAGAGACAAAAAAACATATTAAACACGGAAAGCAAAGATTGCGCCAACCAAACCCCAAGTTCTTGCCTCCACTTTGATCTTTTGGACAAGGTCCAGCGCCGACGACTCGTTCTGCTGAAATGTGCATGAATTCCTCTCTTTCCTAATCTCCTAATTTACTAGAAACAAGAGGGAGCGGAGGCCCTTCCGAGGAACCCCGGCAAAGGACCCAACGGACATCCACCAATCCTTGACGGTGTCGGAAAAGGGCCATTCCTATGCCTCAAGCTGAGGAAGGGATAGCCAACAAGTGATGTAGCTTCCGACGTGCCTCGAATAATGACATTCCACAAGGACGTCGTGCGCCGTCTTCGGGGCATGCCAACAAAGGTGGCAGTAAGCACCCGTAAATCACACTCTTGACAGATTTGTTTGGCCTAATGTCCATGTCGTCACTGAATCAGTTAAATCACAAAAAGCAAATCCAACAGGATATGTTTCATACAGAAATACAACGTTTGATGAAGACTTTTCAAACAAAAACAGGATGATGTCCTGTTCCAATATTTTCTAAGATGAGATTAGTCATCCCTCTGCTCTCTGTTAGAGTAGACAATGTTTCCATGTAACGTGCTTTGCATGGTTAAGTTGTTAGGCTTGGATATACAGGTAGTTGTGCTTGTGTGGTATCTAGGATGTTTACAGATTCAATCTGTTGTAACCTGAACTACTTGTATTCCAAGCATTGTAACAAACCCAATGTAATGTAATATTTAGGCGCTTTTGGCCTATATAAACAACACGTATCCGTGACCAGCCAAGGTAGGCAGTCACGTTCCAATCTACTGCTTCTTCTTTCACTCTCAAGTCTCAACTTATGTATTTGATATGATTGCTACTCATTGTCATGCTCAGAGATGGAAGGTAGAATGTAGAGGATGAAGGCAATTTCTCCGCACACAATAAACAAAAGAATTCAGGGAGCCTAGTGTCATGGGGGTACACAAGTTTTAACTCCTAGCTGAGATTAGTCATCTCAAATATAAGTTTTAAAGCAATCATTAACCACAGTTTTAAAGAAAACATCCTCGAAGAACTCGACCGAATCAAGTAAATAGATCTAACCATAACCATAAGACGAAGCTGTAGCAAGAAGAGTGATCACTCATATCTCACTTGAACTTTGAATTGATTGGAACTGCTGCGCTTCCCATTCTCTTCCTTTAGATTTTCCAGTGCAAGTTTCAGTGCACTGTTGCCTATCTTACCACTTAACTGCACCTCTCTAAGGTTTGTCAAGTGCTGAATCCCAACAATTTGCTCACTGCCAACCATTAGCATTTCAAACCTCTCAAGCTTTGGCATCGATCCTTTCTCAAATTGGTAGAGTGCCGGAATTCCTGCACTTAGCACTTTCAGGTCTGTGAGCTCAGGAAAGGATTGGGTAGCTTGTACTACCAGCTTTTCTCCTCTATAAGAGTTTTGCTCCATGGTGATCCTCTTCAGGTTGGGCAACTTACACAGTACTTCAAACAGTGGGTCACCTTCAAGCAGTAAGGTCCAAGCTATGACAAACTCAACAAGGTAGGTTAGTAATCCAACCCAGTCAGGCAATCCAAATCCAGCAAGGCCCCCACAGATCCTTAGGTATCGGAGGAGCCGCGGCGGCGAGCGCAGGTGATGTAGAAAGTTCATTACCTCCAAGTCCCAACCAATGTCACCAAAGTTGAGGCATCGGAGGGAGTATAGCTTGCCCACAGAATCGATAAGCGTTTCATGGACATCCTGGTTAATGACATCTCTGCTGTCGACATAGATGGATAGCTCTAGCAATTGCTCTAGTTCAGATATCTCTTCAGCAACCTTCTTGGCAAACCTCTTGTTTGATTGGACAACCACTTTATTCACCTTGCGTAGTCCCTTCATTTTTTTAACGCCTGGGGGTGGCATCCACCGGATGTCCTTATCAGATTTGTTGGAGAACTGTAGACTCTCAAGTTCCTCTAGCTCTATCACAGTTTTCGGTAGATCTTTAAGGCACGTCATGCGTGCATCAAGTGTTTGCAAATGCACCAGCTTACCAACTTCTCGAGGGAGTTCACTTATATCAGTACCCTTCAAGTTCAAGAACCTTAGAAGGTACATCTGGCAGATATAGCCCATATGTTTGTTCTCAAGGCTGTTGCAGTCTTCAAGGTCAAGTATCCTGAGCAGGGTGAACTCACCAAGACGATCAAGCAGCTTGTGCCGATCAAGCTCAAACATACTCAGTGATCGGGTATGCTGTACATTCATCCCCATGATAGCATTCTTCCTACCAAACCCTGCCGCCACTTTTCGGGATGGCGATTCTTTGGCAACCTTTCCTCCACCATGGACTGAGAGGCGTCGTATCCTATCGTAGCGCATCCCCTCATACTGCCCACCTATCAGGCTAACAAAGTTAGACTCTAAAGACTTGGAAACCAGCACCTCAAGCATCACGTCATGCACCCGGCATGTCTCCACCCTCCCATCATAGAAGTTGGCTATATCAGCGGCCCGATCAATCATGCTTCTGCTCACCAGCTCATTGAAATAGGATTCAGCTACCTCCATCAGTGTCAGCCCTCTATCCTCAGCAACCAATCCTTCAGCAATCCATCTTCTCAACAACCGATCTTTAACGATCACATAATCCTCTGGGAAAATGCTAAGATACATCATGCAACCCTTAAGATGATGAGGCAGGTGGTCATAGCTCAGTGTGACTATCTGTCTCATTCCCTTGAGCGTTGGGTTACACTGCATCTGTGAACCGATTGATTTGAGAACTGTATTCCACATACCTTTGCTTTCAGGTGATTTGTAGCATGCCAAAAGGCTGGCAATGCTTATAATTGCCAACGGCAGCCCACCACACTTTTTTAAGATTTTCTCCATAGTATCTTTCAACTCATTGGGGCAAGAGGCACTCATGGAGCCAAATGTTCTGCTCAGAAACAGCTTCTCTGAGTCTTCTGTGTTCAGAGCTTCAATACGATAGATGGAACCACTAGCATCATCACTGCATGTCTGTGCAATAGTATCTATCCGAGTGGTTACAATGATTCTGCTGGCGCAGTTATTGTCCGGTAACTTTGGCCGGATCGCATCCCAGGCTGATATGGTCCATACGTCATCGATCACAATGAGGTACCTAGATTCATCATAGTTATATATGTTAGAATTATTGCAAAGACTTGTCCAGCGCAAAAACATCTTACATTAATAAATATATATTTTCGCGAGTCTTAATCAAACTTATCCTTGAATTTTGTGCCGAAAAAGATTAAGAGATCCAAAAGGTGATGACGATATGAGTTTAACATCTTTTACCATTTAAATTATAGATCCTTTCATGTACATAGATATATAAACTTTGTGATGAATGGTACCAGTACTTCAACATAAGGATGTGCCTGGCTACTTTGAAAAATATCTGAGAAGAAACCACGAAGAAATAAACAGAACATGGCAAGTTGCAAGTACAGAATGACAAAACTGTCCAGCAGAACGTGTTCCGTGGACAGTATTCAACTGACCCCGACCATATGGTAGAAGAAAAGCACTGGACAAATTAGGATCTGTTGATCATGTGTGCACGGTGGATAGCCTGACCCCGACCATGGGGTAGAATTGAAGTAGAGCGCTGGACAAACAGGAGTAACGTCTGGACAGTTGTGCTATGGCACTATGCAAAAGTATAGGCCAGATAGTCCAGCGAGGAGAAAGAGATGACAGTCAAACAAACTAACGTTGGCAAGATTGCAACTGACCAGACAGTTCAGCGATGCACTTTTCGGTGAACACTCCACTATCGAGCTAGTTGTTTCGTGCATCACTTTTGCCAAATGACTATGAGTGGATGGGATATATATATATATATATATATATATATATATATATATATATATATATATATAGAGAGTATATTCAGTAGCCAGCTATAAAATAAGTTATTTTGTAGCCACCTCCATTATAATTTTATATAATAATTTACGATAATGTCAATACATATTTACGATAGTTGAGTTCCTATAACACATGGTATTTACCATAATGTTATAATAAACCACTTAGTAAGAAATTACTATAATCTCGTAAATTAACATAGTAATTATCGTAACTCAAAGTGGCTACATAATAAGTTACTTTGTAGCCAACTACAGGATAGTAGTTATATATATATCCTACTGGCCATTCGTGGTTGTTGGAGACTGTGGAAGCTACTGCTGGACTTAGACCACTCCATCCACCATATTAGTCTGTCTAGAACATACTATTGAGCTTAGTGTTCCTCTTAATGAGAAATATGCCTTTAGCTTCTCAGCTTGAGTTCTTGGGACTATTGTGCCCCTGTAATATTGGTGAGCTAGAGCACTTGATGCATTTGTGCTCTTCCGGGGACGATAACTCTCCAAGCATTGTGTGGAGTGGTGGCCACTTGGTGTACAGGGAACGATGAGACCCTTTTCTTGGCGGAAAACCTCCCTACTGGATGACACCTTTGTTACTGTGGAGAGTTGGGAGGCAAGTGTTGAACCTTCGGGGTTTACAACACCTTTTTGGTCGGCGGTAACCTTTGTGTCTTGTCCGGCACCATGACCCGAGAGTAAGTCTTGGTGAAATGGAGCATATCTTTTGTGGAGATCAAATGTGAACAAGTGATTGTGTTTTGGTAGTCGATACCACAGGACAAATCCTCAATTCCGGGAGTTGGCCCTCTCTGGCTCATCTCTTTATTTTTCATAATGAAGATTCTACATTGTGTTAGTTTGTTTGACCTTTACCTTCTGTACATTATCTTAGACTAGTCGATAGGTTTTCTTAGGTTGTTAAATTCTTTTCCGACAATTAACTATAGAGCACTAGAGAAAAAGGTACCCATCTTCCTTGTCTGGTTTGTTGTTATTCTTTGTTAAAATCTAGCCAAACCTTAGGTCAAGTTTTAGAATACCTAAATCACCCCCTCCCACTCTTGGGTATACTAGGTCTCCCTTTGGCTTCAATATATGGTGTTGGGCGAGGTGGTGGTTGGAGCTTAGGGTGCTGGTCGCCTTAATTAGTCCAACTTTATTTCAGGGTGGTTTCCATCTAGGTTATGGCAAGAGCCCAAACGACCATCACCAAAACTGACCAATAATATGCCAAAACTAGCAATAAAACAAAGAATCAATAAATAGAAATCAATAGAAAAGCTAGAATAATTAGTTGTTTATAGGTTGTTTTCGTATAACATATTATTTACAACTACACACTAAGCCAACTTATAGCTATGTAGTAATCTAGGTTGTAACTACACTGTTACAATAAGTGCAACTATAGACTTCCAGATTTTTTACTTTTTTTGAATATTTTTTTAAAAAAAATTGTCAAAGCTTAGGCTTTATGGATCTCATTTTGTTCAGCATATTTTTCCAACATCAATTTTCAAACAGTTCATAAATTGAATTTACGATTTATGAGATAATGCAGAATTTAGGGTTCATAAATCGAATTTAGTAGAAATCAAATTGCGATTCGGCAGACAAAATGCTTTCGTTTTGGCAGAAAAAAAGTTGTTAGTGACTTGTTACCATGTCAGACAAAAAGGAAAAAGAAGTGGAGGCGCATGACAAAAAAAAAGAAAAAAGAAAACAAAAAGCCGGCCTCAGTATATCTTTTATTTTATCTTTTTCATTCTTTATTGCCCGTACCTCTTCTCGTGGAGAAGGTCCGCCAGCTTATCGGCCACGCCGTCTTCGTCCACGCCGTCCATGTTACCCACCGAGTTCTCTTCCTTGATCCCTTGGTCATTATCCAATTTCGGCTTCACGATCTGCTGGAGCACGCGCACCAAAAGTCCCTTGACGCCCTTCCTGCCGTCGAACGCCTGGGACACGGACACTTGCTACTGGCGTTGAAAGTCCGACTCCAGCAGCCGGCACACCTCCATGGCAAGCGTTGTTTTGCCGAGCCCACCGAAGCCTACGATGGAGAACACCTTGACCTGGCGCTCTGTGTCACTCGCCGATTTCAGCTTGTCAGCGAGGAAGGTAGCCTGCTTGTTGAGGCCGATGAACTGACTGGGGTCGTCTACACGGTGGAGCGTGTTCGTGGACGACGACGCCACCACTGTCGCCGGTGCAGAGGCAGAAGAATTAGGAGGCCGGCGCAGTGGCTCGAGGCTGACACCGTAACGAGCATGTTGCTCGTTGGTGGCGGCGGCTTGGGCGCGGAGGGCCCTGATGTCGCGGACAAGGCGACGGCGAGAAGAGATCGTCGCAACGAGGTGCTTCCACCGGACCAGAAAGTGGTCGCCAGGCCGACACCTGACGCGGAATAGATAGAGGTCGACGCTGTCCTCGGCGTCGTAGGCCACCTCCCGCAGCTGCTTCATCCACTCCCGGACGAAGTGGTCGACGGCGCCCTCCGCGGCTTCGGACTGCATGCGGAGGAGAGCGTTCATGGTGGCCAGCTCGTCCCTCAGCCGAGCGACCTCACCGCCGACGCCACGGAGCTTCTGGAACTCACCCGCCACCAGCTGCCCAACTTTGCTAGCAAGGGACTGCGCCGCGCCCTCCATTTTTAGTTTTATTTATCTCTCTCTCTTTGTTCGATTCTCACAAGAACGGGTTTTATTTGTTGCCATATAGGAAGTGCGAATGGCAGCTATACACTGCACTTCTGCCTTATATATACTGTTATTTTCCTATTAGTCTTCACTCATAATGGAGATTGTACCCCTAACGATGCCCGGTTTATTCCCGGATACACACAGTGTGATCATGTAGAGAATATAATGCCGCCAAAAAACAGTAACATGCACTATGCCATAACAACTAATCACTATCGGAATTCGTGCCGACGTGATGGGGTAGCCTATCACTTTTGGTTTAAAGACTAATATCGGTAGCGATGGGGTAGCCTATCATTATCCCTATACAGAGGAAGAAGAAAAAGACAATGACAAGTGGGTCTCTTCTGTCATTCTCTACCGGAATAGATTTGGGGGCCTAAATTTGAGTGCTGCTGTTGGAGTAGAAGAAAAAAAATTGAGCCAACAAAAATAGAGGGAGGACCCAAATCAAAAATAGAAACCCTAATTTTAGGTGCCTCTGATGAAGTTGCTCTAAACGCTGGAGCTGCTCTAATGGTACCATACCATGCGCGCCGGACCACCACTCGCCAAGAGAGGCATATATGCTCCCTGTCCCTGGCCGGCCACATGATTCATGAGCCTATGGCAGAAGATGCTGCCGATGATCAAGTCGCATATTGCACCAGCGACTCGGAAATATATGCTGCCGACAGAGGATCGACCTGTACATAAAAGTGATTGGAAGTTTGCATGGGATTCCTCCTCAGCTTGGCAGCTTCCATCCTCTTGTGCACCGGCGACGGCGATGCCCACACTGAGAGCAAGTATAATAGTAGGTTGTAAGCCGACTAAATGCTGAGGTGGAGGAGAGAGGGAGGAGGACAGCCAACTTTGGCACAAGAACCAAAAAAGTCTGTGAGAGAGACAAGTGGGCCATGTATTAACTGTAAAGAGCTAACTACTATATGAGTAGGCTAAAAGAAGGCTACAAGTAACCTTACAGCCAGTAAGCAAGCTGTATTATTAGTCTTGCTCTGAGATCGCTGGAAACGGTTTGTTTGTGAAGCAATGAAAGCCCATAGTCAATGCGTGGGCGGCCAATCACCGCGAGGCTCCCGGCCCGGTCGGGCTCTCTCTGCCTTCTTCAGCTCTTCGATATCTATCCTCAAGCACAAGCCTAGGCCAACAGCTGTAATTTAGGATGTGGAGAGTGTTGACCGTGTAATTTTGTTCATGCATGGGCCTATAGCACTCGCTAGTGATGGGTTGATATATAAGCCTGGTGGGCTCCTCCAGCTCACCCATATTGTTCCTTTGTACAATCGGTCAGTATATATATATACTTAGCCTGCGTGGCCCATATATAAATAACACTGAACCCGCGCGGCCCATATATATACATATGTAACAGGAATCATCATTCACACAACTGAGCAAAGTTAAGATCTCGTCTTTAATTTGCTCCAACAAATTAATCTAGCACTAGGAGGATGAAACTAGTAGTACAGCGTGTTCGGCTGGCCTGCTGGCATTAAAGGGCACTGTAGCAAGTGGGGAATACTGTAGCAGCTAAAAAATAGTAAGAGAAAAACACGGTTTCCGGTTAGAAAAAAAGAGACACCAACCAGCCTACTACTAGTTTCATCCTCCTCTCCCACATCGCTCGGATGATCTGCCTTCGTGCAACTGCCGCTAGCCATGCCGACGACGCACCCCTACTGCAAGCTGGGAGTGGGACCCACCACCACCGATCCCTGCCTGCGTCTGTCTGCCTGCCGGCCGCCACGTGGGCTAGCAGCTCGCGCGCGCAACCCTCTCCCGGCCACTCGCTCGTCTCGTGTGGCCCTCCCGACCGCTAGTAGCTCACGCGCGCAACCCTCTCCCGGCCGCTCTGCACTAGCCCGCAATCCTTCGCCGCTCCTTCGCGCGCCTCATCCACTGGCACCGACGGACCTAGTCCCGACAGCGCCCCAGGCCCTGTACTGCCCCTCCCCAATCCCTGGTCGAGGACCGTACAGCTCTGGCCACACGTCTACGCCGGCCCCCCTAGACAGGCGTTGCGCCCTCCGCCCCCACCGTTCGAGCCTCAGCAGGCGTTCCATGCCGTGCCCTACTTCCCAGCGGCACCACATACGGGGGAGGGGCTGCCATACAGTCCCTGTCCGGCTCGTCTTCACCAGGCCTGCAGCCGCCGCCTCTGGCAAGGGGCTCCTGCGACCAGGCTGTAACACCTTGAATTTTGCCGTGTTTGAAAATCACAAAATTTTTGAACTTTTTCAAATTTCCTATAACTTAATTAAATATGACCCGCGTAGGTTTATTTTCATCGCGAGTAGAATCCATTAAAAGAAAATCAAGCTGCATGTGTGATGTTGTTCTGGTTTGTCTACCTTTTGTTTGTTGAACTTATGGTGGTACTCCTCCTTTGAAAACTATCTTGGAATTCAAATTAGAATCATCCCAAATGCCCTTGAATAAATTCTGAGAAAAGAAAAACCTATTGATAAAAAGGAAAAGGCCCTCGGGCTCAATATCCCTACCCTCTCCCTTTTCTGGCCCACGGACGCAGCCAACCTCCTCCCTTCACTACTGGAATCGAAGGCTTTGCTGAGTGTCATATTCTTTGCCGAGTGTATTTTATCGGACACTCGGCAAACCATCTCTTTGCCGAGTGCCAAACTAAAAACACTCGGCAAAGATTCTGACACTCGTTACTAAAAAACACTCGGCAATTCTACTGAAAAACACTTGGCAAACTCCGGCACTCGGCAAATATGGGAAAAACACTCGGCAATTATGGCAATCGGCAAACATCGCGCCACGTGTCCCTCCATAAAAAGAGAAAAATAAATAAAAAAATAAAAAAATCCTTTGCCGAGTGTCTAACATTTAACACTCGGCAAACTCGCGTGCGCGGAAAACCGAGAGGGAAGAAGGCCGTACCGTCAGGGACGCTCTGTGGACCCAAAACCAAGCCGGCACCCCCCGAAAAGCAAGATTGGCGCGCTCCAATCCTGGAGCATGGCCCACGCGTAAGAGAGAGGGAGCGAAAAGAAGGGCGCGGTCGAGCGGCTGGAAGGCGCGTGGGGGAAAAATCTCCCCCATCCTTATCCTGTCACCTGCTCACCTCCCAGATTCATCTCCCCATTCCCCTTCCCTTTCTCTCTCTCCCTCTCGGATCTCGGCAGCCGGCGGCGGAGCACGGCCAAGCGCTGGTAAGGCCATCCGAGCTTCCCCAACGCCGGGCACCAACGAATACCCCCAACGCCGGTGGCATGAGATCTCCCAAGCGGCGGCACGAGATTCCCCAGTAGCGTGAGCTCCCCTGGCGGTATGGTTAAAGTAAGCACCCTTTCTCCGCCCTTCCTGCCGTGCCAAGCCGAGCACCAGACGAACCCTGAATCTATTTGCCAATTTGTATTTCGATCTCATCTAATCACAAGCGTATGCACCAGGGCCAGGTCGCCAGGCCAGCGGCCATCCTTCCAGTTGGGCAATCTTCTTCCCCTTCTCCCCTCCCTACTCTAGGTCGCTCGCATGTCACCAGGACACCAGGATCTGAATGTTGTGTGTTTCATAAAGTATACAAGGACAGTCCAGATATTTGATTTATAAAGCATACATAAAACTAGTGAGTTTCATTCCCTTCCAATCTTGTTTGCATTCTTGGTATTACATATTTTGCAGATTTATTTAATAAATTTATGTTAGTATTTATCCTTACAGTTTGTGGTGTTTATTTCCCCCATGTAATTTTGTTCAGCTAGCTCCATGATTTTGCATTGCTCACCTCAATGTCTCTACCCAATGCTGTTTTCACCTTTTCTTTGCAGGTTGGGTGCATCATTGCAAACTGAAAGAGCTACTGTGCTAGGAGCCTTTTGGAGATAAATCTAATAAAAGGTAATACAGCACTGAATTGTTGAGCTAACTGCTTTTAAGAAGCTATCTTATTCATTGCTTGTCACTAGTAGCTATCTTATTGAGGTAAATACTAGTTATGCATAGATCCGGCTTCGGCACTGAATTTTTTAGAATGCCCTTATACAGACTGCTAAAGCACTTAACAATAGATCCTGAATATTATGATTTGACTTATCAAAATGTTTGTTTTCAAATAAAGGACTGCAGCATTGAGGGTAAGATGTAGTCTGCCTTATGTTCTTCCTATTCTTGCTTTGTGGGAAACATGTTTTTTATGCATAGACTACCAGATTTATAACTTGTCTGCAAATATGAATAGATAATGGATTACAATTTAGCAACACACCTGCTGACCTCATCTATTACTACACACTGTGAAGCACTACCTGTACTGTGTGGACATTAAAAAATTACATTGCCTCTTGTTTAGGTGCACAATATGAGATATAATCCAACAGAGTGCACAATGTACAAGAAGCAAATGCTTTTATATTGTTTTAGGCAATTTATTTACCCATCTATAGTGGTGCTAGAACACTGAATTGAACAATAGGCACTGAATTTGTATTGGGCAGCTGCATTTTTCACTGATTTGCTGAACAGACATGCAGTCCATTTGTCCTCACTGAGTTGTGCCTTATTACCTAGATATAGGTTAATAAATTGTTTTAACATTTGCATGCACTTTTGTCAATTTACATTTGGCAACTACTCCTGCGTAGATATCTAGACACTTTTGGTTCTAAAAATATGTTCCTTTTCACTTTTGTTTCTAAAGATAGTTTTGCTTGGATGAAGTTTTCACGTATGTTTTTAAGGACAGTCTTGCTTAGATGAACTGATGAAGTAGCATATGCTACTTTAATGTTTCCTTTCACCATATGATATTAAGGGAATCCTTTTCTTGCAGGTGAAAAGAAGCAAACTGCTTCTGTAGGACAAGACACTTTTCAGCTAGATTAGGTAAAAAATATTCATCAACTATCATATTCCTACTTTACCTTTCCTCACTAGAAGCATGCATATGCCTACAGTTTTTCACATGTTTCAGGTCATCGACC